ACAATCCAATATCAACACACAAATCATAGTGTTGTAAAATGTTGTCAGTAAATAATAACGATAACTCAAGAGCAAGAGCAACGAGTGTTGAAAGAAACACACTCAGTTTCTACACTAAAAGAAGATAATGCAGTTAAAATAGTAAAAGGAAAAATCAACAAATAGCGCACCAATGTTGCGCTTTGTCTTGTGGAGTGCACTTTACTCAGAGAAAAATAAAACAAAAACATCACAGCCCAACCCAACCCACAACTTATAACAGCAGAGCACAACCAATAAGAAACCTCGGTATGCAAGTGGAATAAGAAAAAACAAAAAAAGATACGAAAATTATATAAACATTATAGGCAGCCGTAAGTATGACTAAACCAACCGCAAAACACAGCAACAGCAATAACACAAACGATATATGTAACAAGTCGGGTGGCACACTACAAAAACGAGGGCCGAGCAACACACGAACAACAACAACAACAACAACAACAGCGACAGCAACAACAACGTCGTCGTTGACGACAGCGAGCAGCCAGCTCTTGTATCGAGTTGTTGTTGTTGCTTGGTAATTTTAATGTTGGTTTTATTTTCTGTTTTCTCGACTACGAAACTATGCCAAAGTTAACGACGGATTACAATAATCAAAACATAGAGACAGACACACAATATGCATACACACACACACACACACACACACACACACATGCCCATAAATCTTGACGTGTGACAATTATGCAGTTGGTTGGCAACGCGCGCTGTTCTCGTAACGACAATTTGCAACACTGTCTCAACAAACTAATTAATAGCACTTACATATCTACATATATAAAACGCGTTGAATATTCATTTCGTTAACAGTTTATCGTAAAAATGTAAACATTTTTGTATTTGTGCTTAAATTTGACACACCCTAACCGAAAAATAGTTACCTTGCTTTTCACATAAAACAACTGGAGCAAAAATTGAGTATAGAAACAATTGCGTTATTTAGAACACGATAACATTAACGAAAAAAAAAAACTATTGAACCAATTAAAGGTCTGTTTAAAATGTCTTTCACAAATATGCGGGTATATTGTATGTATCTATGTATGTATGTAGAATGTGTATGTATGTAGGCATCTATAGCGTGCAAAACCACAATGGCGGCAAAAATAGTCAGACAGACAAGCCTACATACTATGTACATACATGTATGTATGTAAATGTCAGAAAAATTAATTGTTTGGCATATTCGTTGTGACTTATCATACTTGTGCACTCTTAATGCGTAAATATTTACATATGCAAATATTATTGACCTTCACTTTCACCTCTTTTTTGATGTTGTTTTTGTACAGGGCTGAGGCCAAAGTAACGTACACTGAGAGAATCGCCGCATTCCTTAGTACAATTAAGCCAAGTACAATTATGAACATACAAATAACAACAAAATTAATCAAACGGGCTTTCACAAAACATATCAATTGGGACTTTTGTCCCACTGTGCATTAAAAAAAGCGAGTTGTGGGCGCCCGTATGCATCATACAAATGCAATACATAAATATTTGTGACAAATCAACTGAAACAACAAAAATACAAAAAAAAAAAGCACCACCGTACCTACTTATACTTACATGCATACACATACATGTACGTATGTACATACATATATGCATGTGTGTATACGTATACGCGTATACGAGAAGCGATACGGCCTTCTCCTTCTCCGCTCGTGATCGAGCAACAACAACACAATTACAGTAAATAGGTGAAAAAGACAACAGCGCGCAGTTGCACAAATATATATATATATATATAAAAAGCAACCACAAAGCACACACGCACACACACATCTACACGAATACAAGGTATTACGGTAATCAATGTCAAACGCTGCCGATTTCATTCGCATGCACAACAAGCAACAACAATATCCGACTGTCTGTCTCAATGTATTTGTGTGTGTACTTGTACAACAACACAAAAACAATTTAAGAGCAATAACAACTGACACAAAATACACCACATACATACATATGTATGGCTCCACAGATTCGCGTTATATACAACAACAACAACAACAAAATCGTCAAGAGAGCCGTTCGTTCTCCGAAATAGGGTGAACAGAATATTTGACGGAAATTCCAACAACCTCAAGTGCTTTGATGAAATAAAATAATCTCTGTTAAAATTTGTTAATTTCAGCGTAACCTGTTGGTTTACCCATTTTCACAATGTCTTTTTTTTTTTAATTAAATAGTAAATAATAAGTAAAGTTTTTAAATGCCAACTTAAAGAGTCGAATACATGGACAGAAAATAACACCACTTGTTGTTGGCTGCTTCTTGTTTTGGCATAATTAAATGCAATATGTGCGAGCGTGACAGCATCACAATGCATGACTATCGTCAACGGTCGCCATTTGCTCTCTCGCATGCTCAAAAGCAAGGCATGATCCGACACGCACACACACACACACACATATATATATACACAGACACAATACTTTCACTTCTTGTATTGAATTTAATTTCGGTTGGGGCGCCAGCGCTGATGTTTTTGTTGTAGTTTTTATATTGTATGTTTTCAACAGATTTATGCAAGTTTTCTGTGTTTGTATACATATGCATGAACACATACATGCACAAGCTTGTGAATATAAGTGCGTGTGTGTGTCTCGATGTTGGGGCCCTCAGCAACAGCGAGCGAAAATAAAAATTATAGAAAATCCGTGCCTCCACACACAAATGACAAAGGTGGGTAAGAAATAAATGCTCTCTGTGTGTGTGTGTGTGTGTGTGTGTGTGTGTGTGTGTGTGTGTGTGTGCATGTATAGACATAAAAAATAGAAAAAAAAGGTCTAAAATTTGACTTCGTTTACCAGCTCTTAAATAATTCGAAATTTATTAAAGCCAAATGCTCTTTGGCTGACCTCGATCTCGATCTCGATCTCGATCTTTCTTCTTAAGTCAAATCAATGAATACTGTATCAAGACATACAATTTGCAAGAAATGAAATTGTATTTATTTAAAATTCAACAGATATTGTGTGCTTATCTACGCAAGCACAAAGTACACAAGTAACAACAAGCACATGCGTCAAAGCACTTGGCACCTGACATATGGAGTTGCATTTTACGTTCTCATTTCTGCACTCGCTCTAAGCCTAACCCCTCTCCCTGTCTCTCTCCCTGTCTTTCTCACTCTACCAATCAACAACACACACACATATATACTGTTAAAATGTGCATGAATGCAATAGCGCAAAGCATTCTAAACAATATCGGGCAACGAGTGGAGTGCAGTCACAGCTAGACGCTCCCACCACACGATATTTCTCTCGCTCGATGACGACGACGCGACATTTTGTCTCGGGTGTCATTCTCTCGCTCTGAACAATTTATGAAATGTCAAATCAATATGCAGTTGTTTACTTATCCAATTGTATAAAGCATTAAGTAAAATGAATGTAAAACACTTTCTTCTTATAAACAAGCGACAGCTTAACAGAGAAACAGAAGAAATGATGATAATGAATGAAAATTAATTGAACATATTCAAGCGAAAGACCTACGTTTTTTTTTTTATTTTGCTACTTTTGGCGTGAATTGGGCCTTGCATGATATACAATCCCCTCACACCAAATGCTGATACGCGCAGACAGCTGTTGGAATGCTAACTTGTGAAATACACGACGCCACACATACAGCCAAGAGAGAGAGAGAAAGAGAGAGAGAGAGGGGGGGGGGGCATAAACATACTGACGTCACATGTGTGCTGCAGTGTTTGTTGTTGTTGTTATTAGAAGTAGTGCCTCATCAATTTCAACAATTTGCATAGACCGACTATCGATAGGCATGTAGTAGTTTAATCGATAGCACACTCAACAACAACAACAAGAACGAAGTGGTGTGCGCGCACATCACATGTTAAAATTAGATATGGAAAACTGCTGCCCGCCCACGTACGTTTTCTAGGATAACTTTTACACATACGCACGCCTCCGCAAAATGCAACAGCGTCGATGGCAAATTGTTCAAACACATTTACAGGGGCAGTCGAAAAACAAAAAACCAAATTAAGAATAGCAACGTCAGCTGCCAAGTGGAAAAACCATTACGAATTACAACAACGAACATTACTCCTTGGATGGGCCCGGCGTTGTTTAACTGTTGTCAACATTCCAACGAATTTTGTTCTCTTTTCTACCACTTTCTATTGCTTACTTTGTGTGTAGTTGGTGTTTTTTTTTATATTATTATTTTTATGTTGAAACACTAGCAATTGTTATACATGCACAAAAGATGATATTGCTGACTTTTGATTTTTACTTGTGCTTGTTGTTGGAAGTAAATTTATTTATAAATTAATTGAAATCGCGTAAATAACGACGGCGACGCGACAACGACGTCGGCGGTGGCGACATCGACAGCGGCTGATTTTCGTCGGCGACAAGACTACGTGAGAGCGGTTGGTTGACGTTTTTGGTGGTTGAGCGCGAGAACTATGGAGACGGGGCGACGACGAGGACGAGAGCTGCTGGAGCGCGCGCGTGCATAATACGCACGTATACACAAACACACATGCACATGTACCTTTCATACATACGCAAGCTTCCTCACACGGTGCGAGGGAGCTTGTCTTGGCGTACAAGAGAGTCAAACTCACACACGCAAGCAGACGTAAATATGTGTATGTACATATGTATGTATAAATGTATAAAATATAATACACGGCTACGTTAATGAAATTGAACGGCGACTGCAAATGTAAATGGTGGCAACAGTCTGTCACAGTTAAACGGACAGATTAAACGACGATCCGCCCGAGAAACATACACACACACACACACACACCCACAAAAGTGGAGAAATCAATCAACGATGTACAACACGACGGAACGGGGGAAGGCGGAAACCAGAATTTAACAATATTTTCCATATTGGACACATTTTAGATTCGTTTATTTTTGCATACATATTTGTATATGTATTATTATTTTTCTCATTTTTTCTTTTCTTACACAATAATTTTTTATAAATTTCAATAGTTTTCACACACATTATATTTTACACTTAATTGAGCTCTTGTTGCTGGCTTAATAATGCACGTATTCCCCTTAAGTTAATTTTCTATAATTTACAAATGTAATTTTAACAAAAAATTTTCTTAGTCAAAGTCAGAAATCACGTCATGGCTGCCACGTCCAAGCAACAATGAATCGTAAAATTTCCAAAGCAGCCCACTTCACGCGGCGTTATCGTCGGTTGCGGTTGCGAGTGCGTTTGTGAGCTGAGAGAGTGAGCGAGTGCTGCCGACATCGCGCAAGTGCAGTGTGTACACACGGATTTATAGCAAAATATTCCCGTTTCATATCGAGTTATGTGGGATAGAGTGAGTAGACTATAGTACGCGTTTAGAAAAACCCAAAAATAATTTGCAAATAGATGCACACTTGTGCTCGTATTGCTGGTATTATTTAGTGCTATATTCAATCGCATTGATATTTTACCCAGTGCGCTTTTGTTAAACGCAATTTTGTAAAAAAAGCAATTGACAACGAAATATATACCTCATTATATAAAAATTATTTAGCTAAGCGATAAGCTCTCCATTAAGAGCTTAAGTGTCAACGACAGCCAAATTTCATTTTGCGGCGACTATTGCAGAAATGAGACTTGGTTTTGTACGTTCCAGATATACATTAATGTATGTACTTAGCTTATAAGCGACACATTTTGCATTTTCTTATGCCCGTCTTATAGGTTTATGATTTTGAGTTTTTATAAGAATTTTATTTATTTCTTATTGCGCGCCATCGTTTTTGAACAGAAAGAAAGACCAAAACAAGCGTATAAAACATATGTTTTCAATTCGCGAGCGCTCTTGATGTCAGAGCGAGATGGCTATATATATTAAAGAGGAGCTGCATTTGCGAAACACAGCATATAAAAATGCAATAAATTTGTGTAGAATGAGAGAGACACAAAAATGTGAAATGTCGCGCGTCATATGTAAAATTTCACAAAATTTTTAATAAATTACAGTAAACCAAACAAAAAATATGTATTCATAATAAATTATTCAATTGGTCACAACAAAACCAAATGAAAACAATAATAAAAGACAATGCACACATCGCGACAGCGGCAACGAGACATCGTCGGCAGCCGCTGACGCCTGGTGCTCACTCGCTTGAACCTGACCACGGTTTGGTATTCATATTCTGCCGAAAAATTTTCAGCAGACTAAAATGCAGATAAAAACAATGCACTCACCCTGGAAATTATCGTCATTCTCTTCCTCTGATGCCATGCTTGCAGTTAAATGCAAATTTTCAAAGTTTTATGCACAATAAAAGCGCTTAATTTTCACAACAAATAATTAAGCACACACAGACACGACGAGAAAAAAATAGACGATACGCTTCTGTATAGAGGTGGGAAATTATCGATAACTTGATTGACAGTGTCGATAATTTTTCTGTAAGTAAAATTCGAGTAAGAACACAAACATAAATTAAAAAAAAAAACGAGATATATAAAGATAATTAAAAATATTTAGTACTGATTAAAAATTTGTGTAATATAGATGAAGGAATCACAATCGATAACAATGAGTATCGTTTTTATAGCTACCGTGTGCCAGCAAAAATGGCGGTGCAGGGTGCAAAAATGGGGGCCTCAAAAGTTATCGATAAATGAGCAAGTTGAAGACAATCGCTGAGATCAATTGAAAAATAGAATTGTGAACTTGATTTACTTGGGACAATGTTATGCTATGTTTTAAAATTGCCTTTTATGTTACCATAACTAAATGTGCAGTTCAGTTCGTAACTCAAAATACTAGTTCGATTAAACTAGTTTAAAAGTGAGCAACGCAACTCTAGCTGTCAGTGGGAAGAAGAGTGGAACAACCCTGTCTTTTTGCCAAAGAAATTTTCACGTAAACGTTTTTGCAGATAAACATACAACAAATACCAAAAATAAAGCATTGCGGATTAAGCGGAATGTGCAAAGTTTTTGGTAAATAACTTTTACGTCTTTAGCCAGTTCAATTTAATTGCGAATATTATGTCGTCCATTATAACGCGCAAGGATGCCGAAAGCGCCGACGCCGACGAACAAAAATCGAAATCAGCCAACAAACGCAGCGCTGCTGGCGCCGACGTCGGCGTCGATGCTGCGCCTAAGAAGTCACGTTTCGATGTCAAGGAAAAGAACGGTGGGGCGCCCATCGATGCGATGGCCTCATCGCTGAGCTCCACACAAATCAAACTGATGATGGCGCATGCCCAGCGCGAGATCGAGGAGCGCAAGCGGGCGCTCAGCAATCTACGTGACAAGGATCCTCTGTTAGCGTCTGTGCCACAAATCGGAATGCCAGTTGCACTGGCTACCCAGGCGTTAGCCAAGAAACCAACGCCCGAGGACGCAGACAAGGCCAGAAAGATTGCCGAATTGCAGGCACAAATACGCGCCAAGCTAACAGGCAATCTGGCCAATATCATCCAACAGCAGCCCACGGCAGTGGCAGCAGCAGCTGCGGCCGCTGCGCAGCAACAGCAGGAGCGACCCAAACCGCTCATACTGGACGAGGAGGGGCGAACCGTGGACAAGAGTGGACGTGCCATCAACATACCAACTGTGACGCCCACGCTCAAGGCAAATATACGCGCCAAGAAGCGCGAGGTGTTCCAACGCCAGACAACGGGCAGCGAAGGCAGCAGTCATAGCGGTGCCACCAGCACCGGTCAGGACGAGGCCATCAAGTATTTTGATGATCGAATTGCACAGAAGCCGACGCTGCGAAATAAACGCACGTTGCGATTCCACGAGCCCGGCAAGTTCCAGCAGCTGGCGGAGCGAATGCGCATGAAGAGTCAGTTGGAGCGTCTGCAGAATGAGATATCTCAAATAGCACGCAAGACGGGCATATCTTCGGCCACAAAGCTGGCATTGATTGCACCCAAACAGGATATGCCCGATGATGTGCCCGCCATGGAGTGGTGGGACTCGGTCATACTCAGCCAGGATATGCAAACACTGGATGAGGCGAGCGGCAAGATCAGCATCCGCAAAACGGCCATCAGTAATCTCATCGAGCATCCCACGCAAATGAAGCCGCCAAGTGAGTATGCCTTATCATCGATGTTGTCCAAAGTATCGAGAGCATTAGGGTTAAACTAAAATGATGACGACTAATACTATTCCATGTTGCAGATGAGCCTCTGAAGCCCGTCTACTTGCCCGTGTTCCTCACCAAAAAGGAACGGAAAAAGCTGCGTCGACAGAATCGACGTGAGGCCTGGAAAGAGGAGCAAGAGAAGATACGACTGGGCCTGGTGGCGCCGCCGGAGCCAAAGCTGCGCATATCCAATCTGATGCGTGTGTTGGGCACAGATGCTGTGCAGGATCCCACCAAAATCGAGGCGCACGTGCGCGAACAAATGGCCAAGCGTCAGAAGGCTCACGAGGATGCCAACAATGCCCGAAAGCTGACGAGCGAACAGAAAAGCGAAAAGAAACAGCGCAAACTTAAGGAGGACACCAGTTGCGGTGTCCACGTGAGCGTCTACCGTATACGCGATCTGCAGGACAACCAGAGCAAAAAGTTTAAAGTCGAAACGAATGCCAAGCAGCTGCAAATGACCGGCAGCGTGGTGCTCTTTCGGGATTGCTGTGTTGTTGTCGTTGAGGGTGGGCCCAAGCAGCAGAAGAAGTACCGTCGCCTCATGCTGCATCGCATCAAATGGGAGGAGGATCTGGTGAAGGGTAACGATGGCCAGGATGTGGCCAATTCGTGTGTGCTCGTCTGGGAGGGCACCAGTCAGCGTCGGCACTTTGGCGAAATCAAATTCAAAATATTTCCCATGGAGAAAATGGCACGCGAATTCTTCCAAAAGCATCAGGTCGAGCACTACTGGGATCTGGCCTACTCGGGCGCTGTCCTGGAAGCCTCTACGGATCAGCAGTAAACAATTTAGCGACATCTAGCTGTTTAGACCACAAAATTTGTTAAAAGTTTAGATATATAAGCTTAAAATTATAAACATTCTGGTTTTATGTACAAAACTGTGCATTTATTTTTTTGTATACGGATCCTCCTTAATGTTGGACTGTATAAACTCATGGAGACCCTGTTGCTTGAGCCTTTCGATTATTGTCGCCAAACGTTCATCCTCCAACCGTTCCTCTGCCCGCTCACGCATATCCAATATGTGCTGCTCCTTGACACGCTCGGTTAGCACGCGGCGTATCAGCTGGCGCAGCGACTTGTTAATCTCCAGGGTATAGTCGAGCAGCCTGACATAGGTCTCGGGCTTGAGATAGCCGCACTGTTGGCACTGCGCCAGCTGCTCAAAGGTGTCCATGCTGGCGTTAATCAACAGTCCATGCTCCTGTATTGCAGCTTCTTTGTTGCTGTCGCTGCTGCTGCTGCCCACGAGAGCATTGCCGCCGCGATGCTGCCAAAGCAGTTCCTCCACCTTGGCACTGGGATTGACAAAGACATAGCCGCGGTAGATGCACGCCGTGGAGGCGGTTATCAGGTCATATGTGGATATGCCGCATTCGATCAGTGCCACGCCGCAGCAATTGATCGCGGTGCTCAGCAGGCAGCCATCGTCATCCAAGATGAGCACTCGGATGTCCAGCTGAAAGTTGAGGAACTCATTACGGCAGACGAGCGGCTCCAGTGCCTTGGTCAGCATGCTGCCCAAATGCTTTTCGCGCTCCGGCACCGATTCCAGCTCGCCGCTGGCAAACGCCGCAAAGTTCACATAGCAATTGATGACGCCCATATTCACACGCCGGGCACTGGAACGGACGAGCTCACGGGGCGGTGCCACGATGGCCAGCACTTTCGTATTGCCATATTCCATGTACGCAGATCCACGTACCGTAGTCAGAACGCCGGCGCGTATAACTGTAAATGCGATTTGGTTTTATCTTTACGAATTCAGCAAATAATATTTCAATTTCGATACCCACAGGTGGAGCGAGGTGCAGCCACAACCTCAGTTGGCTTCTCTATGCTCTCGAAGAAATCCTCGCAATCCTTGGGCGTCGTATATAGTTGCTCGGCAATGGTAGCGCCATCGAGCAGCGTGTTTTTCGTTTGTGTAATGCGCAACATTATTTGACAAAATGCCGCAAAATAAAAGCAAATAAAAACATGTGTTTTTGAATTTGCAGCCAGTGCTGAAAAAAGCGGTTTTACTGAAAAATGCGCATAGAGCGAACATCGATATGTATCGATATCGCTATTGGGTGTATTAATGTTTCTTACATCACTAATTACACATAGTTGGCAACTCAGGCTTTTGACAGCTCAAAAAGCGCTTTGTAATTCTGCTTAGTAGTAAAGAAAAGAAAACGAGAATAAGCGGAAAAAAGTGAACGCCGCATTATTGAAAAATACATTTTTTTATATATTTACAAAAATTGAACAAAGGGCTCCAGACGCGCAACGCACAGCATGACTGGTGAAACCAAGCTGGAGAAAAAGCCACTTGGCGATGCCAAGGAAACCAAAGGCAAGGCCCAAGATGCTGGCAAGGCCAAAAAGGATGAAAAGGAGCAGCAGCCAGAGCTATCCGACGAGGATCAACAGCTGCAGGAGGAGCTAGAGATGTTGGTGCTGCGCCTGCAGGAAAAGGACAAGAAATTGTATCAGCCAGCATTGGAGATGATGGCCAAGCTGATACGCGCATCGACCACGTCGATGACATCGGTGCCAAAGCCATTGAAATTCATGCGTCCCCATTACGAGACCATGAAAACGGTGTACAAGCACATGCCCGATGAGCGCTCGCGTCAGCTGTGCGCCGACATCATCTCGGTGCTGTCCATGACCATGGGCAGCGGCAAAGATTGTTTGGCCTATCGTTTCCTCTGCGATCGCACCCAGACGATCGGTGACTGGGGTCACGAGTATGTGCGGCATTTGTCGGGCGAGATATCGGCCCACTATCACGACACTACGGGTGAGTTTCGCACCCAGCTTATCGAGCTGGTCAAGCAGATAATTCCGTACAATATGGAGCACAATGCGGAGGCAGATGCCTGCGATTTGCTGATTGAGATCGATCATTTGCATTTGCTGGCCGAATATGTGGACGAGTCGGCCTATCCGCGCGTCTGCCTCTATCTGCAGTCCTGCTATCCGTATGTGCCCGAGCCGGATAACACCATCATACTGGAGACGGCTCTGCAGCTGGCCCGCAAGTTCCATCAACATACGCAGGCGATGCGGCTGGCGCTGATGCTTAACGATATGGGCAAGATTGGCGACATATTCAAGGAGCCCAAGGAGCCGGCCATGCAAAAGCAGCTCGCCTTTATGCTGGCCCGCCAGCAGGTGTGCCTGGACCTGGACGAGTCGCTATCGGACTATGATGATCTGATGGAGATCATGTCCAATGCCAACTTGAATAAGCATTTCTTGAATCTGGCCCGTGAACTGGACATCATGGAGCCAAAGACGCCCGAAGATATTTACAAGTCGCATTTGGACAATTCACGCTCGCGCTTTGCATCCATCCAGGTGGACTCGGCCAAGCAGAATTTGGCCGCCAGCTTTGTCAATGGCTTTGTAAATGCGGGCTTCGGCGTGGACAAGCTGCTCTCGGAGGACGGCAACAAGTGGCTGTACAAGAACAAGGAGCACGGCATGCTTTCGGCTACCGCCTCCCTGGGCCTGATTCTGCTTTGGGACGTCGACGGCGGCTTGACCATGATTGACAAATATCTGTACTCCACCGACGACAACATCAAGTCGGGTGCCTTGCTGGCCTGCGGCATTGTCAACTGCGGCATACGCAACGAGGTGGATCCGGCTCACGCTCTGCTTTCCGACTATATTGATAATCAGAATACGTGCATGCGCATTGGTGCCATTTTGGGCCTGGGCATTGCCTATGCTGGCTCCAATCGCGCCATTGTCATCGATACGCTGAAAACGATCTTTGCCAGCAACGGCAAGACGGCTGCCAGTGTCGAGATTCTGGGCATTACGGCTCTGTCGCTGGGTCTGATAAGCGTTGGCTCGTGCAATGCTGAGATTACGGAGATCTTGCTGCAGACCATTATGGGTCTGACCAAATCGGATCTGAAGGATACCTATACGCGCTTCCTCTGGCTGGGCCTGGGACTGCTCTACCTGGGACGCCAGAAGTCCACGGAGGCTGTCATGATGACGCTGGAAGTGCTCGAGGAGCCGTATCGCAGCATGGCCACCACCATGGTGGATATATGCGCCTATGCTGGCACTGGCAATGTGCTCAAAATTCAACAGCTGCTCCACATTTGCTCCGATCACTACGAGACCGCCAACGCCGACGAAGAGAAGGAGAAGGGCAAGAAGGACAAGAGCAAGGAGAAGGTAAATAAATTAAATTCTATAGAGTTAATCGTCTTTAAATGTCTATAACTTTTTGTCGTTTCAGGAAAAGGATAAAGAGAAGGAGAAGGAGAAAGAAAAGGAGCGCGAAAAAGATCTGTCGGCCACACAATCGATCGCTGTCCTGGGCATCGCACTCATCGCCATGGGCGAGGACATTGGCGCCGAGATGGCGTATCGTTCGTTTGGCAATCTGTTGCGCTACTGCGAACCGGCCATTAGGCGTGCCGTGCCGCTGGCTCTGGGCCTGATATCGGCCTCCAATCCCAAGCTGAACATACTGGATACGTTGAGCAAGTTCTCGCACGACAGCGACGCTGAGGTGGCGCACAATGCCATCTTTGCCATGGGCCTAGTGGGCGCTGGCACCAATAATGCGCGTCTCGCCTCGATGCTGCGCCAGTTGGCGCAGTATCACTCGAAGGATCCGAGCAATCTGTTTATGGTGCGCATTGCCCAGAGTCTGACGCATTTGGGCAAGGGCACATTGTCGCTTAGTCCCTATCACAGTGATCGCCAGCTGATGAATCCCATGGCTGTTGCTGGTTTGATGGCCACATTGGTGTCGCTTCTTGATGTCAAGAATCTAATCCTGAATCGTTCCCACTATCTGTTGTACACCCTGGTGCCGGCCATGCAGGCACGGATGCTCATCACATTCGATGAGGATCTCAGTCAGCTGCAGGTGCCGGTCCGTGTGGGCATTGCCATCGATGTCGTTGGCCAGGCGGGCAAACCGAAGACCATAACCGGCTTTCAGACACACACCACGCCTGTGTTGCTGGCAATTGGGGAGCGCGCCGAGCTGGCCACCGATGAGTACATCTCGCTAACGCCCGTCATGGAAGGATTTGTTATATTGAAGAAGAATCCTAATTTTGTCAAGTAATCGCTTCTATTAATTAAGGCTATGTAAAGTTATGTCGCCCGATTAACAAAAAGAAAACAAAAAAAACAACCCAAAATTAAACCTAACCGAAAAATAAATGGTCGTCTCTTCATTGGCAATTAACGCATATGTCATAAATAAATAAAAATCTAAATATATTTACTACTACGTATTAAAATCACATTGTTCAACTGTCTGAAAGAAAAAGAAAAAGCATAAAGCGGTTTATAGAAAAGTAAAAAAAAGACGAATCAGATTAAGATTAAGCTTGATTAATCGCGCGGGCATCATTTTTAGCTAAATGTGGCTATTTTCAACTGGAAACTTTAGACAAATGCAGCTAATTATTTCCATCTCAATTAGAAGCCAATCAATTTATAATTTATAAGAGGGTATTTGCAGAGGGTATTCTAATTATGTCTCGTTATATGTAACGCTTAGAAGGAGTCATCTCCGACCCCATTAGGTATATATATTCTTGATCAGCATCAATAGCCTATTTGATATAGCACATTTCTGTCTCTTTCTATGCGTCATGAATCGTCTCTGTTGCACGCAGAACATATCTCGGAACCGGCTGGATCGGACCATTATATCATATACGAATCGATCGGTGGAAAAGTAAATTCATGTATGAAAAACTTTTTTGTTCAACAAGATATCTTGACCAAACTCGACATTTCTTAGCTTCACTATTCTCCTCGTATATAACCCAAATCCCATTAACATCGGACCACTATATCATATAGCTGCCCATAGAAACGATCGGTCGAAAATTAAGTACTTGTATGGAAAACTTTTTTGTTTATCAAGATATCTTAGCAAAACTTGGCAATAATTAGTTTTACTATGTCCCCCATGTGAATAGAAAATCTTATCAGCATCGGACCACTATATCATATAGCTGCTATAGGAAAGATCGGTGCAATGGTAGAACTGACATAAGGGAAAATATTCTGTTTTCAAAAAAGTCGTTGGTTTCAAGCTGCACTGTTCTCTCTTATCTGCAGAAGGGAAGGGTATTAAACTCTTCGGCATGCCGAAAACATCCTTAGATTATCGTATAAAGTAAACTTGATCTAGATTTAGTAAAAAGAGATTTTATACAAAAAAAGTAAGGTTAATATTTGTTCAGCAAGAGTCAAGATTTCATCTAATGCTAATTCTAGGCCTAATATTTTTTCTGTATACCCTTACTTTATTATTTTATGATCTTGATAATGCATGATCTTTCGTAATCGGATGGGATTATGCAGATCGTTAATAATTCGTGTGTCATATTCAGCAAATTAATTAAATGATTTTTGTATGGACGAACTAGCATATTAACCGATTTGAGAGTTTTGTCACGATTCCAGTACATTCCCTGATAATTTTGGGTTTCAAAGCTGAAATACTTTCCATTCAAATTGTTGCTGCCAGACAAATCCTTGGTATACCACCAGGCGCCATGGTAATAGGCGGCATTATTCTGATCCGCCGAATAGTCGTTATCCTGATCGAATGTGGAGAACTTCGGCTGATAGCTAACGATGCGGTAGAGATTCTCCAGGCCGATAAAGAATTGGGCATTTTTATTGGCCAAGGCCCACGATATACTCCTGCCAGCTTCGGTAAAAGTCCACGCTGCCATCGAACCTGCGCTGGATGACCGTCCAGCCAGATCGGCGCCAGGCCAGGCAGTTGGATGGTTTGCAGGCCCGATCTATAGCCCATGGGCAAGCAGCTGGTGGCTGCCGCCGGTGGCTTCTCTATTGGATGCGGAGTGTAAGTTGCACTTGAGCCTGAACTGTTCTGGCCCAGTTGGGTGAGACATTTCTTCAGCTGCTGCTGAGCGGCGTTCACCCGTGAGGTTTGATTGGCCTTCAGTTCGCTGATCTTGCCCCACGCTGTGCCGCACTTGTTGGTCAGAAACTCGTTGGTCTCCTTCAGCGACTTAATCAGTTCGTCCTTGTAACGATTCTCAGCAAGCTTTATTTGCAGCACATTTAGTTTTGCTAGCAGCTTCGCATTTATCTGCTTTGCGTTTTGCACCTGTACGCTTAACTGATTGGCCTGATTAGCCTTATATGGTTCACCTGCAACTCAATCTGCTCACAAGTTTGAATGAAAAGCAGCAAAAACAAGTTACCTGAGCGTTGAACCAACTAGCGAGAAGTCAGCGGTTCAAACATAGCAGAAATAGTCAGCATAGTTCAGGCGAGAGTTTTATTCGAAAATAATTTCAATAAATCTTAACCAGCGACTTTTCTGATGGGTTTACAGGCAAAAGTATATAGGGATCGGATCTCAGCAATTGTATAAAAATTAATCTGGTAACAAGCATAAGTTATAAACAAAAGCCAGTATTATAGATTGCACAAGTAATCAAATTGTTTACTAATCCTTGCCGCGTGCCTGAACCGCGCACACTTCCTACATACAGAGTTAAATCATATGTTACAATACATTACTTTGCAAGTGTATATATATATATATATATATATATATAAATATATATTTATAAATGTGAATGTATAGTTATGTTTATTAATGCATTTCGCTGTGAAATGTTTCGACAGTTGTCACTTGTGATTTCGCTTCCTCGCAATTTGAATCATAAAAACAATCAGACGATAAACTTAACGACAATTTATACAAAGTCGCAATTAACGTACAGAAGTTGAAATTGTTTAACATAGCTGAGCTCCTGAGTTCGTTTAAGCACTGGACATTGGAACTGGTGCCTGTGTTTGTTCCGTGCTCTGCGCTGCCGGCGCCAGCGGCGGCGGCGGCGTTGCTTGCGTCTGTGGCGTAAACACATGTGCCATCTGCGGCGGCAGCGGTGTCGGCTGCGTGGGAAACAGCCCTCCCATGGCTGGCTGCACCTGTGGATACGTGGGCACCGTCTGGGCAGTGGAGCCGGCTGGATACGAGAGAGCCGCCGGTGCGGACATGTATATCTGTTGCTGTTGCTGCGGAAGTGCGGCCATCGAGAACATGGGCACTGCCGGGGCTGGCAGCGTGGCTGCCGTCGCCTGTGGAAATGGTAATTGAGCGGCAGGTATGCCGCCAATGCCAACGCTCACGTTCGCATTCTGTTCTGGGGCATTGGCATCGAATACGCCGGGTATAAAGATGTTCGCTGGCGGTGCCACAGGCTGGGGCGGTCCCACGGGTTGAGGCGCCGCCACGGTTTGAGGCGCCGCCACGGTTTGAGGCGGTGCCACGGATTGCTGCGGTGCTGGTGCTTCTGGTGCGCCACTGGCGACTGCTGACGGTGCAAGGCTGTCGGATGGCGCGGCGACTTGCGGCTCATTAAGCGTAGCCTGGGTTTCGAGTGCAGCGGTTAACGCATCCGTGGCATCATCCGGATTAAAATAGGTCTTGAATATGCTCTGTGCTGGTGGCTCTATAGTTGGTGGCCGGATCTCGGCGTTTGTCGAGCCAAATGTGTTGGCCAGTGGCGGTATATAAGGCAATGTTGGTGCAACAACGGCACTGGCCGCTGCGGCCGCAACGACAGGCGTCGTCACGGGATTAGCCGGACCAACCGGTACCGCCGCAGCCGCCCCAGCTGATGGGGACGGCGAAGGTGCTGGCTGCACGGGTATGCGATGCAGATAGCCATAGCCAATGCCACAGCCCAGAGCGCCCTCGCCGCCCCAGGCAGTATTGGGCTTAATGGTTACTTCCCGGCACGCATCGTCGTCCAGATTGTACACGTACATCTTGAGGGGCTGTTGCTCGTGCGTCTCGATCAGCGTGAACAGATCGTCGTTTTCATGGCGTATGGCATCGGCGCCAATCACATAGTCGCTGTAGGCGCGCAGGCCGGCCAGCTCGGCTGGTGAATTTGGATGAACCTCCAGTATGTGCCAGACGCTCTCGTTGGCGCCCTCAAACGAACAGAAGCGTATGCTCACGCCCAACAGTCCCTGGCCACCCCAGTTGTTGCTGGGTGTCAGTGTGAGTTCACGGACAGTTTGTGTTTTGCTCGAATAGACGGTGATGCGAACAGGTTTATCAACGTTCTGACGCAGCAGCTCCTTGAGCATGTCATTGTCCTGGTCCAGACGTGTGCCTGCTATGGCCACGATAAAGTCAAAGAATGCCTCCAGGCCAGCCTTTTGGCCGGGCGAGTTGTCTTGCACCTTGAGTACGTGGTAGCCTATTGTTGTTAAAATAAAAATGTGTGTTTGTTTTACTTGAACGTAATTGTGTGCGTGTGTGCATATGATTGGTTCTCGGTTCTTCTGCATTAATTGAGACCGTTTACGTGGTTGTGTACGTTACCTTCAGTGCCACCGCCGGGTACATGAACGCTGTGACTTGATCCCATTGTTTTCTCCCTTTAAGCAACAAATATATTATTGACTTTATTTGCTGACTATACAGCTAAAATTGTTTAATTTTGATGCGGCACTAAAGAGAGTTCTGTTCTTCGTGGCAATTTTTTGTGGTACGGACTCCAGTGTTTTAAATGCTCTCGGTCAGTGCATCTCGCTCACACAAGTACCAGGGCTGCACGACTCAAATAGTCTGTTATCGATATTCTTTTCCAGTTCATAACACTTTTATGTTAAGTTAACAGCAAGCATATGACAGATGCGGGATAGCTTTACATTTATAGAATCCCGTCCGTCTAATGAAACATTCGCATCTATTAAATATTTGCTTGTAGGTGTTTATATTTGATTTCAAGTCAATGCAGATGTTTATTAAAAATGACAAACAGTAATAAATAATCGTTAGGCAGATGGTTTTACTTCATGGCTGCTGCGACCTGCCATTGCTGCTGGTACTTCGATACAGCTTCGCGATGTTTCAGCATATCCTTCTCCCTGCAATAAGAATATTTGTTGATAATACTTATAACTGATGCTAACACGATTCACGTACATATTCTCCAGTGTATCAGTGGAACTTTTCAACTCCTTCGAGATGTACTCAATGCGTTTGCCAACGTTTTGCCGCGAGTCCTCCAGCTCTTGTTTCACCAGGACTGGTCCAAACAATTTGTACACTTTATTGTCGGGCCCAAGCAAATTTAGTTCATCCAGCACACACTTGTTCTCATTTAGCTGGCTCTCCAGAAGTGCCCGCTGTTTAACTATTTTAACACAGGCTGTAACGAAATACGTTTATATTAAGTATATGCCAGAGACTTAATTAATTTGCTTACATTTTTGTAGGTTCTGATATGACTCAACCTCTGTTTGCATTTTTTTATACAACGCTGCACTATTTTTATCCATTTTGTTTGTTTTCTATGCGGTATTTATTACAATTCTTAAAGTTTTAAAAACAGTTGCCGGTTTGCGTCTGTAAAATAATTTGTTTAACCAAATTAGAACAAAGCTTCTGCTGTCTCACAGTTGTCTGTGTCTATGCGAGTTATTGCTGCGTGTTGTCGATTGAAATTGCCTGCACAGTACTTAAAGTACTATTCAACACAATAGCGCAAGTAAATTAAACTTTTTTATATTAAAATTTACCTTCCTTTAAAGAATTAAATAAAAAATTAGAAAAGACTACTCAGAGCTGAAAACCAACAGTGCACGCTTTTATGTTAAAATTTGGCGTTGCCAGACACAGAATGCAACACTTCAAAACAGCTGACAATAAATACAATAAAAAATGTGAGTATATATACTGTAAATAACTTTCTTAAGTTTTAAAAAAATATAAATAGTTGTGATCAATATCAAAGAAAACTAGATAGCTGAAACAACAACTAATTAAATGGTTTTTAACATTAATTTGTGGAAGTTACAATGTTGTAAAACGCTTCAGGGGTGTGTTTCAGTCGCAGGGGTAAAACGCACGGTACGATTTACTAGCTTTGTTGAATGAAGATATATTTTCTTTATGTTATATACCAGTATATCACAAACAAAATAAAGATGAAGCCAAAAATCTAAATTTAAATATATCAGCATATTGGTGCGATAATAGTCCTAGTCAATACTAGTTGTGCGAGCACGCATCATTCAGTCGTTTCGTTGCGCGGCTCCTGTAATAACACCAGAAACGCTGCAACAAAGCATACGGTTTCGCGCCGAAAAAGAAAACGGCGAAAAACACGCAGGAAAAGCCAAAAAATAAAAACAACTACAATTTAACGCATTCAACAAACATAAACATGTTTTAACAATCAAATGCAGCAATATTTTGTTTGCTGAAATTGCAGCAACGCTACAGGCAGCAGGCAGCAGGGCGAAGTGTGTGAGTGCGTGTGCAAGCAAGCGGCGCGTTTGTAAAACGGCTGAGTTAGAGGCCCTCCCTCCTTCTGCACCCCCTCAAAACACAATGGCACCCACAAAGAAACGCGAAAGAGACAATGGCGATGGTGCGGCCGTTGTGGCCAACAACATAAACGGCCTAAACAATGGCAGTGGACATGGTGCAGATGCTGCTACAAACGAAGCGTTGGCAGCGCCAGCGGCAGCGGCTGCATCTGCTGCATTATCAACGACACTTAACCATGAAAGTCATGCTAAACTTAATGGACATCAGCAAGAGCAGGAACTCTTCTTACAGGCATTTGAAAGTATGTTTGTTTGTCGTCCGTCCAGACTAATCACAGTGTTTTAACTAATCAATAAACTTTAACAGAACCCACACAGATCTATCGTTACCTACGCAATCGCCATGAGACAAACGTAAGCTAACTTATGGCATTTAGATACATGTCCAGTTTTATGTAACCATTGTCTTATGCTTATGTTGCAGCCCATATTTCTAAATCGCACGCTCAGCTATATGAAGGAGCGCATGTCACGGAACAACAAGAAACGCGCCAGTTTCAAGATAGACTCCATACTGGACACAATTACCCAAAAGTCTGAGGCTGTAACCCAAAACTACCTGCATGTTATCTACGACTCCCTGCATGAAAAGCTTAAACCACAAGACAATGATGAGCTGCTTAGGCAGGGGCAGGAGCAGCTGCTCTGCCAGGCGGGTGAAAGGGTCTGTGTGGAGACAACACTTTATAAGATAACGCGCAGCAAGCGCAAGGATAGCACACTAGACTTTCAAGAGCTACTCAGCAAGAGCTGCCAAATTGTTTACAATCCCAATGAAGGCATCGATGAGCATGCCACCATCAGCATACCTTTGCAGACAATGCGACCCATGGGTGATCAGCATACGCTCTACAAGCTGCTCTTTCGCATTAAGATGCAGCCCCAAACATGCAATGATGAAAATGCTGGTGAGAAAAAAAAAACTAAACATAATGCACATTGTATCGAAGAATGAGACATTTATTTTTGTTTATATTTGACTGAACAGCTACACCGCCGAGCAAACGACCACGTAGCAATGAGAAGATGTACGGCTCGGAGTTGATTTTGTACGAGAAGTCGAGTGGATTCATCACCGAGGGCGAATACGAGGCGATGCTGCAGCCGTTGAATTCATCTAGCATTAAGTCGTTCTCACCAAAGAAATGCACCTGGGAGACCATGCCCGATAGCTACATTCCACTTTCGCTGACCTACGATGTGTACCAGCAGAGTCCCATGCTTAAATTCCATCTGACTTTGTCCAATGAGCAGTTGCCTGACATTATTGCTGCACCGGAGATACAACGTTATGTTCATCATTTGGATGCTGAGGCGGATCTCAGTCACATGAATATCAACAATAATAACAACAATAATAATAACAATAACAATTGCAGCGGCCTAAAGAACGGCAGCATTTGCAAGGCAGTGCCGGAGCACATACAAATCGTCTACAATTTCATGTACAGCAACAACACACGCCAACAGACGGAGTACACTCAGGAGCTGAACTGTCCATGGTGTGGATTGGATTGCCTGCGTCTGTATGCGTTGCTTAAGCATCTCAAGCTGTGCCACGCACGCTTCAACTTTACGTACCAGCCAGCAGGCACCGGCGCTCGCATCGATGTAACCATCAATGATACCTACGATGGCTCCTATGCTGGTTCACCCTATGATCTGGCCGGTCCATCGGGCTCGTCGTTTGCACGTACCTGTGGTCCGGTCAGGCGCACCTCGGTCACTAGCTTAATGGTATGCAGGCCCAGGCGCCAGAAGACCTGCCTAGATGAATTCCTCGAGTTGGACGAGGATGACATCAGTAATCAGCGTTCGTACATAACTGGACATAATAGGTGAGCAGTAAAGCTAAGTAAAATGATTCTCTTCGAGAGCATTCCTAGTGTAGTTACGGTTCTGGTTTAACAATTGACATTTCCATAGATTGTATCATCATACGGAGACTTGCCTGCCGGTGCATCCTAAGGAGCTAGACATTGACTCTGAGGGCGAAAGCGATCCACTTTGGCTGCGCCAAAAGACCATACAAATGATTGATGAGTTCTCCGATGTCAACGAGGGCGAGAAGGAGCTAATGAAGCTTTGGAATCTGCACGTGATGCGCCATGGCTTTGTTGGTGACTGCCAGCTGCCATTGGCCTGCGAAATGTTCCTGGATGCCAAGGGCCATGAGATTGTGCGCAAGAATCTCTATCGCAATTTTATTCTGCACATGTGTTCACTGTTTGACTACGGCCTGATTGCGGCGGAGACGGTGTACAAGACGGTGCAGAAGCTTCAGGGTCTGCTTAGTAAATACGCTGCCGGCCAGGAGCTAATGCAGCGACAGCGTGAGGCGCAGCTCAAATACTGGTTGGATGTGGGCATGCACAAGAAGCAGGATGATTTTAAACACAAGTCGCCACAAAAACCAACGTCTAACTCCAGCAACGATATGCCAACTACCTCATCTGGCAGCACTGGCAGCGCCATGCAGCCACCCAAGCGCATGCCAGCTAATCTTAAACGAGCTAATGCCGCCGCCGCCGCTGCGGCTGCAGCAGCGCTTGACGGCCAGGATAGCGCTGCTGCCAATGGCAACAGTAGCAAGAATGTGGCCAAGAAGAGTGCCGACCAACCCGTTACCGCTAATCTGGCCAACACGCGCGAGCGCCGATCCGATCCGTGCCTGAAGCGAAGCGCTAACAGCGGACGCCTCAGTGCGCCCGATAGCAGGACTGCCAGCTCTTTAGCCAAGCGCAAACTCGGCGCTAAAGGTAAGTGAAGGCCCGACATGGCCTGCTCGAATTTCAAGCACATCACATTCATCAATCATCATAGTCGCATCATTCTGCTTTATCATATACATGGCTCACTTGTCTTTGAATAATGAGAGTACAATTTTTTTTTTAAAGTAATTTAATAATTGAGTTAAAAATGTATTCCTCTTTTTTCCCGAGCTCTTAAACGATGCTAACAATGAGCTCAGTTTCACAGAATGTCATTTAACCGCTTTTTAAACATATTGTTCCGGCTCCGTAATGAGGTTTCATGATAACTTTGCTTGTTCCCTTTAAAAAAGAAAACACCCAGCTCTAATTTAAATACAAAGTTTACCAAAAGCTTTGGACTCTTTACCCAAGTGTCTCTATTAGTCGCCTCGTACGACAAGCGGGGACATGCTGTGGAGGTATTCTGGTGCCCGCCAACCACACGGGCGATATCTGGACACATCTACATAATCCCTAATCATTCATGCCAATTCACACATACTCGTACACAATCATTACACTAAGGATCACTGCGCCATCGCCATCGTCATGTCCATGAAAGGTTCTCATTGATAACGCCAAAAAACAAAACCAAAAATATATATATATATAGTAAAAGAGAAACACCAAAAATTGTATTCAAAATTTGTATCAAAATTTGTATTATGATGGCAAATTGCCCAATGTTTTTTTTCTCTCTTTCTCTTTGTTTTTCTATCTTTTTGTTTGTTTTGGATTTACATTCATTGTACTGTGTGCTTTGGCTAACAGCAGAAATGGCTGATGTGGAGCAGTTGGAAGAAATGGCCGCTATGGACGTGCCTCAGGTTTTATCTGCTGCTGGCAATGACAATGACAATGACAATGGCAATGGCAATGAGAATGGGAATGGTGTTGATGATGTTGAAGATGCAGCAGTTAATCAGGTTGATGTTAATGATGATGATGATGATGATGATGTAACTGGGAATTCTACTGCCCCCGTTTATGATAATTAAGTTAGCAAATGTAATTCGCAATTCGCATTTAACACTTGCATTCATTTTACCAACTATTTAACACACATACACTCTTTCTCTCTACACACACACAAACACGCTTACACACATGCACAGATACTGCTGTGATCAGCAAACGGCAGCGCTATAGCGACAGCAGCGCCAGCATCGGCATGGGAGCCAGCGGTAACGGTTCATCGACACGCAACAAAAGCAATAATCATACACTGCCAGCAGACAGCAACAACAAGCGACGTCGCTCTGCCATGGAGCGAAGCAGATCGAACAGCACTGCCGGCGGCAGCGCAGCGACGTCTCATGGGCTGCGCACACGGCTCTCAGTGCCAGTGACCAAGTACGAGAGACGCTGACGCAAGCGGCGCTGCTGCTGTTGCTGCTGCTACTGAAAATCAACGGGATGAAAAAGGGACGACAAAATGGCGGACGATGGCGTTTCGTTAGATTTGATAAGTTAATAATGAAAGCAGATTTTCGATATCAGCAAAATTATACTTTTTTATTATAATTACTATTATTATTATTATTATTAGTGTGTTGTGTTTATTTTATCCAATTTAACGTATTGGACATCTGTAAAGTCTTCAATTCACTTAACCTCATTTAAAAAAAAAAATTTAATAAAATCACAAATCATTTTCCAATTGAGGTAACAAATAATTAAAGCACCGATATACATATATATTTTAATGCAAGTTACTTAACAATTGCTATGGACAACAAATAACGCATATTTCCATTTAAAGAATTTTAATAATTACGATTCTATTTTAAAATCATGTACATTGCAAAATGAATTTGTGTATGCAAATCTATTGAATTCTATACGAATTCAATATTTATAAAGTATATTGTAATTAGCACAGATGACATTTAATAAGAGTGTTTACAAAATAATGAAATCCAAAACAAACAGTTTAGGAAATTAATAAACAAAAATCTACTTTAGGATCGCCGAATAAAATGTTGCATATATTTTTTACAGTGCACTTAAACGTGTTTCTATTGTTGGGAATATTTCAATAAAATGTATATAACGATGGCTTAAGGCACGGAATGTTGATCCAAATAAAAATACGATGGATATGCAAATCCATTGAAAAGGGATTCATCTGAAGTTAATGAGTGTTATAATAGAGCATAGAATCTTCAAGTGAAAGTAGGCGAGAATCTATGCAAGGACGAACTGATAAGATCTCTCAGTTGGATAATAAAGATGGATTAGAAGATGAGAAGTGTAAGATTGGTAATAACTGTGTTATAATGCACAGTTTGGAAGTGAACAGAGCAGAGAACTAGCCGACATGCAAACCTATTAAGGATACGGATCGCCGCAGAGGGATTATCATTCATAGAGTTCATGGAGAATGTTGTAAAGAAATTTAGCTGATTACCGTAACGTGTTGTTCAACATAATTAACTTGAATAGGTTTGGAGAGTCTCCATCGCATTACGAGTGATAATCCTTGCGGGCGAAACTGCACAGTACCAGCTCATGGAACAACTGCATGATACGGTTGGAGTTCTTGGAGACGATATGAAAAATCAAGAACAAAGAAAATATACAACTTATGATTACAATAAAGATAACTGGGAGCAGTTGGTGGTCTATCAAATAAGTAAAGATAACAGATTAGGTTTTTAAATATGTTTGGCAATCTTAAATCTTAAAACTGTAACCATGCTGAAAATTCTAATGTACTGAGAGCTTAGCTTAAGAGTTTGATATCAATATGTCTATTTATTCTATTAATTAACATAGTTTGCTTATGTTATAAACTACAAAACAGGCTTTACATCGTTGAGCTGCACCGTGCGCATGGCCAAATTGGTCTGCCTTTCCTCATTAAACTCCAGCAAAGTTCGCTGCAGACGACAACGCAAAATATTTGCATCCTCTTCGTGCAGTGTTTGCAATTCACTGAGCAAAAATGCGATCAAGGCCTCGTTTCTATCCGGCGATTGAAAGTGGGTTTCTCCTAGCTGACATATGGAATTGGCCACATCCGCAGCTGACTGTGTGATACTCTGGTTTAAAAGCGTCTCCGAAAATGTGGCCTTGGGCAATGAGGAGTCGGCTGTAACGGTTTCAACGCCAGACAACGATGCGGTGTCCAATGCACTGTCATTGCTGTCCTCAATGGAGCAAATGGACATGGATGGCGTGGGACTTTTGGCAGGAGCAGCCGCTTCTGACGGACAGTTATCGATAAATGAAAGTGTCTTAAAGTATTTCCAATAGAACATTTTGGTTCTTTGGCATTGGCGATATTGTGATCGTAGGCTCGTCCATTTTGCTTGTAGTTCAACATCATCATATTGGCCATTGAATTCGGCGGCTATTCTTGACCAGGCCTCCTTTCTTTCATGTTTATTGGCATTCCTTATGTTGGGCGAGTTCCAAATGCATAGCTCCTTTTTCACCTCGCGTATTAGTTTATAAATGTCCTTTGGTTTCCAGACTGCTTTTACTTTTGGACGCTTTGAATTATAGATTTTCTTTATCATCGCTTTGTCAGCAACAGCTGATTTGTTCCCTTTCTGTTTCTTCATTCCAAACTATGAAATATTCCAATCGAAGCACTATTCCAAATTGTAGCAAAACAAAATTGGTCTCTCCGCGTATTTAAATTTACTTTCGGCAAATAGCTTGCATTTCCACAACAAAATGGTCAATGCACAAATTCGACCTATCGATAACAAAAAAAATCATCGCTGCGCTTTTTAAATTGGGGATGTAACTCTGTTAAATAGAAAGAAGTCTGTTAAATTTCAAATGCCTACATTAAGGCGATACGGTAAATGTTTATTTCGATTCATATGCAGCCAAAAGTTGATATTTCTTTATTTAAAAAGACCAGGTATAAATGATTAAGAAAACGAACACAAATTTATTAAATATATTTGTTAGACGCGCCCAGTAACATTTGTTTATTTGCTGTAAGAAAAATGTTGTTATTAATTCAAGTCGAAATATTCCACAATTGAAGTTGGGGTTTGCTGAAGCCAAGCCGTGAGCATAAAACAAAAACAAAAAGTATAAATCATGTTGATTGTTTTGGCATGTGCGTATAAATGCATAACACAAAATCATTAAAGCTGTGGGCCAACAATATCGGAAGCTTAAGAAAATAGATATTTTTGCCATATATTCTATATGCACAAAATAATAACAGTGAAAACCATCTAATAACTAGTCTTGCAAGCACCTCATCTGAAAGTATTTCTCATCGATGAAGCGACAAAATGCCACCAGATGCCCAAATTTTTGCACTGTTTGTGCCAGCGCCATGTTGGGTAGCCTCGTTGTTAATATGGTGAATAAATGGCCAAAGGCAATGGCATCCAGTTCACATGGCTGGTCACCAAAGAAGAAGGGCGTATCTGGTGATTCTTTCAGTTTATATTCAAGCGTCTCACAGCATTTGGCCACTTTCTCGATGACATGATCGATGCTCAGATCGTGCCATTGATACACCTTCAGTTGGCGCAGTGCATTGCGACGTTTGCTATAGTTTTGCATTATGTTTAATGGCCAGGGGTATACGGCTCCATTGCGGGGTGCTGTTATCTCCTTGTAGACGCGCTCGTTCTTGAAGCTTACATACAATTCCGCCATGGTAAAGATGTTTTCCACTAGCGAGACATATGTACGCATATCCGCCTTCTCGTCTTCATCCTGCCAGCTGCCTATTGCCATGTCCTTCTGTTCCACAAAGTTCACAATTGGCTCAAATTCGGCAAAAATAAAGGCGCCCGCGCGTATAAATGGTAATTTGGTCATCCGGCCGCCGGGTGACATGTGCTCCGCATTTGCGCAAGACCGAACGCCAAAGGGCAGATTACACATTTTCAAATATGCCTTGACAGCCAGGCAGCTAGCGTTCTCTGGCAATAGAATTTGTTCCGCCTCAAAAGGCTAACGGGGTTGGATTAAAACATATTTATATCAGAGTTGACTTTTGCCGCGTCCATCTTACCTGATAGAGGGTGGCATCTTCGGGCCAAGGCTCCTCAGCCAGTTTGTCGGCGGTGTGAAATTGATTCAAATATTGGGAACCTTGCATTTTCAGTTGATAAATATTAAGCCTTTTATGCGGCGATGAAGTAATAAACAGCTGTCCGCGCAGAGTTTAACAACACTGGCAATAGTTTCCGTGCAAAGCGGCAAAAATCAAATGCTAGTTTATAGTAGTATTAGTGACAATATTTGTGTTTTGGCAAATAAACCAGTAGAAACACTAAATTATTGATTAATATTCGTAGATCGTTTTGACTATTAAATTTTAATTTTGTTTTTATATAAAGTAATTGCTGCTATATAAATGAATTATGAAACTGATAGTTATTTGTAACGAAATAATCGTACGACGGCACTCGAATCTTTTGCATACTTTTTCCAAGTATCGGGTACGTAATTTTATCGCCCATCTCTAATAGATTGTCACAGCTCGAAACTCTTGCTGCTCGTGTTTTGTTGTTTTTGCTTGTTTATATTAAAGTATTAAAATTGTTTGTAATTGTAAAAAAAATTGGCAAAATTTTTGAGTATTATATATAACTAATATTTGGAGAATACAAAGGTGAGTTACCGTTTAGTACGTGAAGGTAAAAGAACAGTATAAAAAGCAGTACTAAGTGAAAAGTTGAAAGCATTCGCTTATCTGCTAGCAGGAGCTGCGCCACTCCCGAAAAATTTGCTGGCTAATAATCAAAAAAACGCTATTTATGCCGGCCTTAGAGCGTGCGTGTGTGTGTGCGTATGTGCGTTTGTGTTGGTGTGTGCGTGATTCATGCGTCTGAGTCTCCGCTGATGCGTGCCGTGCATTTTTTTTTTATCAGGCTGCCCAAAGCAGCGGCGTCATCACGGCGTTCATTTCCTTGAACTGTTGCCTCAGTCGGCATCGCTCACAGTTTGACGGGGGGTCGTCTATGTTCATTTTCTCTATTTCGTGGCTTTCTCGTTTGCTTGTCTGGATTTGCTGTTTGAAATTTGTTTCGTTTGATCGTTTTGGCTGTTTTCGAATGTTGTTATTTCGCTTGCTCTTTGGCCTGTTTATTTTGCATTCACACTTAATTAATTTTCGTTTCGTAACTCAATTCAGATACACTGGAATTTGTGTTGCTAAAAAAAAAAAATGTATTTATTCTAAGAAAAAGTATATGCCTTTCTTGCTTTTTTTCTTTCTTTATTTGAGTAATATGTATGTACTGAAAATATCAAAGCAAAAGTATACAAAAGTGAATAAAAATACAATTTTATTATCTCGATTGTCGCAGGCCATGCGTCACAATAACAATAACAGTACCGAGAATAAGTCAGCAACTATATTTAATTTAGTACTTTATGCATTTGATTAACCCATTCAAACCAAACTAGGAAATATTGTAATTGAAATTGAGCAAAATTATCGTTGCTCAGAAATGGAAATGGGTATTTAAAACAAAGCAACCTCTATGTAGATAATGAAAAACAAAGCCAACAACAAACTCAGATAAAGAATAAATAAAAAAAAATGTAAAATGTTTGCGTGTGGGGGCTATCGTAGTCGTATTCAACCCATTCTGGTCAATATTATTCAATGTCGGTGCGACCACCTCCTCGACCCCTCCTCAACCCCGCAACAGTGTTCGCTCTATCGCTGTTAATATGTTTCTGCCTTATCTGTCCATGCGGGCCCGTATTTGGCCAGTTCTCTGTACATACACATGTATGTATGTACGTATGTGTGCACATACAAATAGATACATGCATGTGTATGTGTATATATATGTTTGCATGCGAGCCGCCAGCTGCATCCATGTGTTGGCCAGCTTTCTTTCTGCTCCTCCAAAGTGTGGCCAAAGTAGCGTTCATTTATGCGTTAATAATTCGAATTTAATCAATATTATTGAACGAAAAAAACAGGCATATATGTATGGTGTTATGTTTTGGTTAGGTGTTTGTAGTATATACATTTATTAGATATTTTTTGTTGATGGTATATATATGTTCATATAGGTATATATTCGTAAGAAATATGTGCCATTATTCTGCACAAGCAAAAGAATTCCTTAACAGCATTGCACATTTGTACTTATGTTATTAACTTGTCTCTACTCTGAATTACAGTTAGAGTGCCATGGCCGAAACAGAGACGCACCAACATGCTGATCCACATGATGAGGATGTGCACGATGCCAATTATCAAGCCCCACCTGAGAAGACTATTGAAGATCTAATGGCTGCCGATCAGGAAGATGAGAGTTTGCGACGTTATAAGGAGGCCTTATTGGGTGCAGCGCAAGCGGAAAAGATTATTGTTGGTCAGTATGGACAAAGATTAAGATTGATTAAGTTTTGTTAACAATATATTTTTGTACACCCAAAAAGAGCCGAATGACAGCCGAAAAGTTATTGTTAAGAAGCTGGCGCTAGTCGTCGAAGGACGCGATGATATGGAATTGGACTTAAGCGGCGATATTAGTCAGCTCAAAAAGCAGGTTTGTTTTATATCTTACAGAGTCTTATGCATTCATAACTGATTTTTTAAACTTTAACTCAGCTCTTTGTGATCAAAGAAGGTGTTCAATACAAGGTGCGGATCGATTTTATTGTACAACGTGAAATTGTACATGGCCTCAAGTATGTGCAAAAGACCTACCGAATGGGTGTGCCAGGTAAGCATCATATCATCCACACAAACTGACTAAAAGGGAACTTTGCGAGTTGTTGGAATCATGGCTGGGACAACAGATATCTGATGTAACTTAGAAATCACCTGCAGCTTATACATATATATATCTCAGGCAATGTTTGATTTTGGTAAATGATACGTGCATAACACCTGTCCAGTGTCAGTTGGCATTGCCAAGCTCAATGTCTGCACTTGACGGGCTTTCAATGGTCGCAGACACATTGCTGTATCTTTTAGCTAGTGTTAGTACCTTTTATACCTTCAAGCAAATCAGATTAGATATTTTTGTACAATGGGCAGCAGCTTCGATGGCACGGCTTTGCTGTGCGGGTTATTTAGTGTAGCCTACATAGTTGTTGTAACATTTGCAATATTTACAATAATAATGTGCTAAAACAACATTAAATGTGAAATTTGTTTGTATTTAATTGCCTAACCCATGCTGGATAATTAATTTTTATAAACCTAAGTTGTTGGTAAGCCCTTGCTTTGTCGCTTTACAATAGATATGCTTAAATAATAAACGTATTTTGTAATAAAAATGTTATATTTTTCGCAGTGGACAAAATGACGCATATGGTCGGCTCCTATCCCCCCAAAAAGGAAATACAATCCTATTTGACGCCAGCTGAGGAGGCGCCCTCGGGCATGGTATCGAGGGGCACCTACTCTGTATCGTCGGTGTTTACGGATGATGACAAGCACATACATCTTAAATGGGATTGGACCTTTGAGATCAAGAAGGACTGGGCATAAGACATAACACCCACTCACACACACACACACACACACACACAACTTCGCACAGACAATATACACACAGCCACACAAACATGCACACGCATAGAACTTGTCCCAAATTAATGTAAACTATTTTTTGTGAATTTGGTAACAAACAATGTTAAGCAAAATTCCTATTTGTCAAGTATTTTTGTTAACGGTATTACCTTAAATGTTTTTGCAAATATGTAAATGAAGTCGTAAAAAGTATTTTTGATACAATATAAATGAAATGTGTGTGTTAATAATAAGCATTTCACGCCTATGTTGCTTAATTAAAGCAAGTCAGTCAATCAATCAATCAGTCAGTCAGTCAGTCAGTCATTTGTACCAATTTAACTCAGTCAGTTCTAAATGCCATTGGATATGTATAACATAAACTTTCAAACTGTTCTTAAACTTTAAGAAAGTTTTGTGCATTTTGCCTTGTATTAAAAGCGTAAACGTAACGAATGCCTTCTTGATTAGGAGTTCGTTTAAAAATGAAAATATAGTATCCAAAAAGATGTTATCCACCGCATCTTTGATATATACCATATGTATTTAATCTAAGTGTAACTGTTCAATGCATTTTGATAATTAATTGTAAAAGTTCAGAAGAACATGAAAGAGCTCGTTCTGTATTCGATTCTTACTATCTGTCTGTGTAATTTGTGAACAATTTAAGTAAATGCAAGCAACTGAAAAGCAATGAGAATAAAATGTATTAAAATGTATAAATCACAACTTTTCGTTTATTTCTTGGGGTGCACGATTAATTTGAATGGTAAGTAAATGTAGCGCATACGCCACGTAAGCCCATCGAGAATGTATACGAACAATTTGTTCAGGGTGTAGCGAGAACTAGAAAGCGTTTTGCTAGCTTTGTTTAGGTCTGTGTTCAACTTGTCGCCATGTGTTAATGCAATTTAAATTACACACAAAATAATACATGAAATATTTAAACGTACATTTGCCAAAAATTTAAATTGACAGTTAAAAATCATGGGAAAGCTCCGGGAAATGGCGTGAGCAACAAAACGAAATGCGTGTAATGGGACATTAATAACATGAAAGGCCTGTGGCCATTTTTTGTAAAAACAAAAAACAGGAAATTGGGCAGAGTAAAGATATTTTCTTTTTGTTATTTCGGACAGATTTCACAAATTGTATTTGTAGAATAGTTAGGATAAAGTATCAAAATACACATGTATCTCAACAAATTGTACGTAATTCAATAATGAATTCAACTAAATGCAAGTTCGCTTTTCTGCTGCCCTTTGACAGTAACGAACGGACAGCGAGCAGCAGCTGCATGCCAGCAGCTCCTCCTTATTCCATATTGACAGCGACTACCCACCATTTTTGGCCTTGACCCGCCTTCACAACTTTTTACGGCACGAAAATGAAGCAAGACAAGGCGAAAAAAAGGTTAAAATATTGAGCTTTTAATAGCGCTCGGCTTGGTAATGTCCTACGTCTGGTATTTGATTTAATAACAACTTGGGTTGAGTATCATGCCACATTTACATGTCAATTAGAAGAACCTTGAAAAGGTAATTATACCATATAGGAGGAACCCTTTCTCCTTACTTACATGACAATATTATTTTTATACAATATAATAATTTCTTATTATTTTTATATAATATCAGAACCCATAATACCCTGTTTAAAGCTAACAAATGAATAATGGCTACCTGTATATATTACACAGGTTTGGGCTTAATTTCGTGAAAATTATGTTTGTATTTATAGACTGGCTTGCTAATTTTGTCACGCATAAATTTACTGTCATATTTGACTTTTAGTTAGAGCTAATACAGCTAAAGAACCTACGCATAAAATTCAATATCGCATATTGTCCCTTTTGCTGGGCTTAACTGCCAAATGTGTCTATTAAAAGTTAATTGAATATGCCAAAAGATTTGTGCGTGCGGTTCATTTCGTATGCCGAGACGCAAGCGAACGTGTAAAAGTTTTGGAAGTTTTGGGGACCTGCGTTGCGCATGATGTATTTAATTTGGTTAGTTTCCAAAAGACAACTTATTGCCTTTATTAAATGTCCTTGCGGGTATATTCATACCTGTACACAGCTCCTGTGCTCATAGTTTACATAACTCAAAAGGAGTTTTCCCTTTGTTAACTTTCAATGACAGTCAATAGTAGTCATAAAGTGCCTAAGTTATGCAATACAAAATGCCTATTAACATTTTTTATGCTGGCAATCAAATTCCTGTTTCCGGCAAACCAAAAAGGGTCAACATCTACAAAGCTTACGGCTTCTGGTTGGGCATAGCTTTAAGCAGATTCCAATGCACGGAGGCCGTTTAAAGGTATCGACAGACACGCACTGGCCACGCCCACTAAAGAGCGGGCCACAGATTTATGTCGGAGCCAGACAGGGGCATAGTAAGAGGAACAGACATCCCATAAACAGGACACATATCTTATTATTATTTTTTTCACTGGTTCTGAAAGTTTTGTGTGAAACGTAGGTGTCTGATGGATGCCGTTTTTTTCATTTTTTTCTTTCTATTGAACAGAAAAATAATTTGCGTTTATATTGAATTTCTTTGCTGCTCTCATTTTGAAAAATTGCTGGATTTATGCATATATTTATTCAAATGGGCCAACTCATCTACATTTTTGTTGCATTGATTTTAGACATTAAAGATATTTGGTACAGCAGTGAAAATCTTGTGGTGTGAGATGAAACAATTTGTTGATTTTGATTGTTTAATTTGCGACCAGGCCCAATTTGACGTTCAACTCTACAGGGTATTCAAAGAATCAAAGTTTGGTATAAAATTTGATGAGTTTTTGGGTTTCGACTTTAATACTTAAGTTTTATCGTGGCCAGAAAAGTTATTTGTTCAGATAGTTCACAGAATTACAAGCTGCGCAAAATGTACATTGCCAAGCTTTGAGGGTTCTGTGTGAATAAATAAAACCAAAGCACACTTCTGGGCGCAATACATGGTAAATATGACAGCTGTTGACACACACACACACACACACACACGCATGTATTTGCGCGCCCGCAACAACATGCTGTTGTTGTTTTTGTGGCCTTTGTTGACTGTGCAGTTTTCTAATTAAGTCGGGCGCACTAATTAAAGCACATTCTGTAATTAGGATACATGCTGTACCCAACTGATGTTGTTCCCGTATTTTATGGGCCTTTGTTTTCTTGTGTGTGTGTGTTTTTTTTTAATTTGTGTATCCCAACTAAAAAGTTATTCAAACTTTGTTGCAATTGATTTTCTTGTGGGTTTGTGCCTGTGACAAAGTTCAAGGGTCACTCAGTCATTACTAATGCAAGAGTCTTGGCCCGGCACGATAGCATTGACAAGTCTAGGTCGCTTCCCAAATTAGTTCATTAAATAGTTATTTTCAAATTAGGCGGCAATTGCAAGGCTAGCAGCTGGGCAAAAGGCCATAATTTAAAATAAAAAACATAACTGTAACCTTTAAACTTACCCCGATCAAAGAGCATTGCCTCATTTCGAATTCAAGACAAAGTCAATATCCTTGAAAGCCCGACTGGCTTTACCAAATTTTCAACTTGTCCGCGCCCAAACATGATTTGATCCCAATAACACCATGACTTATGCATAGCGAAGAAATTATCCTTCGTGGGCCTCCCAGGCGACACAATTGGGCGTCATGTTGACAAGGGATTGACGTTGGAAGCTTTTAATCTATTGGCAGCCACATATTTTAAATTTATGCAAAATCCATTTGTGTTTTCAGCTAGTTCATTTGCGTTGTACAATAAATCATTTTTTTCAAAGTTGTTTCAACTGCGTCAAATTATGTTGGGATTTACACATTTTAAATTGTATCCATTTTATTTATTTGCCAATTTGCGCTGTTTTATTTATGCAAATTTCTAATACCCCTTAGCGAGAGTTGTGTGTTGTGTGTGAACCAGCAGGCGTGTTATGTTGAGTGTGTAATTTATGCATCGCATGTAATTGCTGTAGGACCATGACAAAGGCTGCAAGCAGAATAAGAAGTTAAACATTAATAACTTAAAAGAAATTTATGAATGGGGTGATTCTTATTAAAGGAAGAGAATCAATTTCATTTCTAAGAAAAATTCCTATATATCCTATATCTTTACTATTGGACACAATGTCAGGCTTTGCGGGTCCGTTGATGTGATACATTCATGATCTATTCCATACTGGGCCGCCTCTCTGCTTTTACTGAAACCCACATGCAATGGACACTCCCTTTTATACTGTGAGGAGCTTACATTCATGATCTGTTATTAACATATTTATGCAAACACAAACACACTTTTACACCTTCCGTCCTGGGCCACGGCACAGCTTCGACTGAAACCCAGATGCATGGGGCATCCCTTTATATACTGTGACGGGCTAACATTTGTGATCTGTTATTAACATTTACATGCAATTGCACATGCACATACATACCTTTAGACCTTCCTTACTGGGCCGCCTCGCAGACTCGACTGAATCCCTGCTGCAGTGAGCTGCTCTTTTTATACTGTGAGGAGCTTACATTCACGATCTGTTATTAACATATTTATGCAAGCACACACGCACAAACACAACATTTACCTTCCGTCCTGGGCCACGGCTCAGCTTCGACTGAAACACAGATGTCATGGTCATCCCTTTATATACTGTGACGGGCTAACATTTGTGATCTGTTATTAACATTTACATGCAATTGCACCCGCACATACATACATATCTTCACACCTTCCTTACTGGGCCGCCGCGCAGACTCGACTGAATCCCTGCTGGAGTGAGCTGCTCTATTTATACTGTGAGGAGCTTACATTCACGATCTGTTATTAACATATTTATGCAAGCACACACGCACAAACACACCATTCACCTACCGTCCTGGGCCACGGCTCAGCTTCGACTGAAACACAGATGTCATGGGCATCCCTTTATATACTGTGACGGGCTAACATTTGTGATCTGTTTAACATTTACATGCAATTGCACATGCACATACATACCTTTACACCTTCCTTACTGGGCCGCCTCGCAGACTCGACTGAATCCCTGCTGCAGTGAGCTGCTCTTTTTATACTGTGACGAGCGTACATTCATGATCTGTTATTAACATATTTATGCAAGCACACACGCACAAACACAACATTCACCTTCCGTCCTGGGCCACGGCTCAGTTTCGACTGAAACACAGATGCCATGGGCATCCCTTTATATACTGTGACGGGCTAACATTTGTGATCTGTTATTAACATTTACATGCAATTGCACCCGCACATACATACATATCTTTACACCTTCCTTACTGGGCCGCCTCGCAGACTCGACTGAATCCCTGCTGCAGTGAGCTGCTCTTTTTATACTGTGACGAGCGTACATTCATGATCTGTTATTAACATATTTATGCAAACACAAACACACTTTTACACCTTCCGTCCTGGGCCACGGCACAGCTTCGACTGAAACCCAGATGCAATGGGCATCCCTTTATATACTGTGACGGGCTAACATTTGTGATCTGTTATTAACATTTACATGCAATTGCACATGCACATACATACCTTTAGACCTTCCTTACTGGGCCGCCTCGCAGACTCGACTGAATCCCTGCTGCAGTGAGCTGCTCTTTTTATACTGTGAGGAGCTTACATTCACGATCTGTTATTAACATATTTATGCAAGCACACACGCACAAACACACCATTCACCTTCCGTCCTGGGCCACGGCTCAGCTTTGACTGAAACACAGATGTCATGGGCATCCCTTTATATACTGTGACGGGCTAACATTTGTGATGTGTTATTAACATTTACATGCAATTGCACATGCACATACATACCTTAACACGTTCCTTACTGGGCCGCCTTGCAGACTCGACTGAATCCCTGCTGCAGTGAGCTGCTCTTTTTATACTGTGAGGAGCTTACATTCACGATCTGTTATTAACATATTTATGCAGGCACACACGCACAAACACACCATTCACCTTCCGTCCTGGGCCACGGCTCAGCTTCGACTGAAACACAGGTGCCATGGGCATCCCTTTATGTACTGTGACGGGCTAACATTTGTGATCTGTTATTAACATTTACATGCAATTGCACCCGCACATACATACCTTTGCAGCTTCCTTACTGGGCCGCCTCGCAGACTCGACTGAATCCCTGCTGTAGTGAGCTGCTCTTTTTATACTGTGACGAGCGTACATTCATGATCTGTTATTAACATATTTATGCAAACACAAACACACTTTTACACCTTCCGTCCTGGGCCACGGCACAGCTTCGACTGAAACCCAGATGCAATGGGCATCCCTTTATATACTGTGCGGAGCTTACATTCATGATCTGCTATCAACACTTGCAAACACACACGCACATACACAATGTTACACCTTCTGCACTGGGCGGCCTCGGAGCATTGACTGGTACCCAGCTTCAATGGGTAGTCCCTTTTATACTGTGACTAGCTTACATTAATGATCTGTAAATAACATATTTATGCAAACACTTACACATATGTATACAGTTATGAAATTAAACTTTTGTTGGACGTATTTTAATTAAATTCTAATAGTCGCACATTCCAATCCGTAAGAGGTTTGAAGTGAATAAAAAATTGTAGTAAGACGGAGTTTTCGAAAAATTAACCGGAGGATAAAGATTGTATGCATATTTACACCGTTACAGAGGGTATTATTATTTTGTCTTAAAATGTGAATCGCATCTTCGAGCTCATGATCCGAGCTGTCAGCCTGTTTGTTTCTATGCGAATTAGTCTGTGAGATTCTTTTGTAGGCAGTTCTGCCAAAATGTGTTTGACTTATTTCGGCACTTACTGGTTAAAATATTATTCATATATTTATAACTAAATCTCATCAAGATCGCACAAGTATATCATATAACTGTATAGAAAGAATCTGTCGAAATTAAGAAATGGTCGAAAGAATAAGCCCTAGCTTATAGTTTTTGTTGTCATCATTATGTTTAAATCAATTTTTCAAGATCTGTGTTAACATTTATTGAAGACACCTTACACAGCTTGGAAAATATCTACATTTTGGGTGAAAAATAGGGAGTCAATTGTTTGATCGTATACAAAGTTTATTTCCAAATAACTATGCAAATTGTTATTAAAAATATTATTAGCATTAATGGGGTAAAGCAGTAAGAATAATGTGCTTTAATTTTGCATTTACTGCGAGTCAGCGAACTGTTATTTTGCGCTCTACAGGTTTATGTTGAACTTTTACCAGAAATGTTTGAATCTTATTAGCTCGCATTACGTAAACGTCTCGTATTGTCAGACGGAAATTGCACAAGTCTGCAAACAAACTTCAGCGCACTTTGACATGTCTTTTTACACGTGAGTGTGCGTGTTTGCTTATTCGCTTTTCTGTTTGTGTGCTAACAGAATTTTTGCCCGACGTCGACATTTTCTTAGACGAGTACCGTACGCAACCGGAAGTCAATGTTGACAATATCCTGTTAAGCTGGGATAAGTGTTCAGGGAACTGAATCGCACCGAGCCATTGCAATGTATATATAATTTAATTTAAACACCCTACTGACATCTGCGGGAAATTGAGGTTGAAGAGCAGCCGGCAATTGCATTTCGAGTTTTATTGAAATCAACGCTGTGAATAGAATAGTTCAGCTGTCCCTAGATGCAATCGAAATCAATAAATTTAATTAAACGTGAAGGTTGCATAAACAATATGTCTAAAAATATTTTTTGCTTTTGTTAGTTATAGCAATATCCTTTTTTCAACATTAAACTATTTTCTGTCTTTTAAGCTTAACACTCCTATTTGCAATCAGTTAATGAGTAGACGTTTTATTGGCTTAATAAAGCATTTTCTGACCTTTGATCTTTACACTTTTCTTGTATTGGACCAGTTTCCGTTGCTTGCTAATTTATAAAAAAAAAAAAAATACAAATAAATGAAATTGCAATCAGTTAATGAGCATTTGGAAGTAACTTTTGCTTTCATTGGCTTAATAAAGAATTGAGGAAACTTTATATTGATTGATTAATCGATTAACTGGCCAAAGATAGCGTATACGTGTAGGTAGGTAAGTAAAAAGTGTCACTTGACTAAAAGCTACTTGAAGAAATGCCACATCAAATATTAACCATACGTAACGTGTGACGAATCAAAATGCCCGTGTGCTTGTGTGTGTGCGTTTCATTGACCAAATTGTGCATTTGTGTGCGCGTGTGTGTGTAATATGCCGGCACTCGTGATAAAAACCAAAACAGAGCAACAGACGGCGTGCGCCCTCGCTCTCGCTCTCGCTCTCACTCTCACTCTCTCGTTGCGTTCGCTTAGCAACATTTTGCGGCAAGGTCGGCAACATTTGGCTGTGCTTGTTGCTTCGTGTCGGGCATATGAAAAAGAGAGCGACGAAAATGCTTGCGTGTATTTGTGAGGCGCTCTTTACACTCTGCGCATTAATGTTTAATATTCATTAATATTATGATGAATATTAATTTTCTGCTAATGCCTGATAAATATGTTATATCATATGGTATATAATCATTTAGCAAAATATATATTTTAAAAAATGTTTTTATTAACTTTAAAATAATAACAATATAAGCAATACTGTTAATAATTTTTTTCAGACTGCTATAGTTAGGATATTAAAACTAACATCAAACTAACATAGGTAAATAACATTAACATGCATATATTCATATGTATTTTACTGCAGTGTATTGCACGAGCACAAAGAAACGACAGCCGCAAGCCTTCGGCTCGTGTTTATGTGAGAGCCCGACAACACTGGCTGCTCCGTTCGCTGTTCGCGGTCAGCCGCGGCCTGTTGGACGTTGCTCGTTTCTGATTAGAATGAGCGCTCAGTTCTGATTAGACAGTGCGGGCGTGCGGTTCGCAGCAATTTGCGTTTTCGTACTCGTTTGCGTTTGCGATTTCGAGTTCGATCTGATTTTCATTTCGCGCGTTTCGACGAGCGCGCGCGTTTTGTTTGTGTCTGTGATTTAATTTAACAACGCGCGCGTTTTAAGCATAATATACATATATGCATATATATTGATATAAATAATTAAGCTATATGTATCAAATACACATGTGAAATTTGTTTGAATTGCCAAAAGCAACAACAACAGCAACAGCAACAACGCATCGACAGCCTCCAATCATTTAGGTAGTGTATCTGTTTTCACACAATGAGAAATTTTAATTAACGCAAAACTTAAGAAAACAACAAGCAAAATGTAAGCGAACCGGCAAAAACGGAACTGTTTCTCCCGCCAACTAATTGCCAAGTTCAATAGCAACTAAAATTAAAATAAAATAGAACACAAAGCAAATGGCAAAAAAAATACAAAACAAAACAAAAACTAAAATCAAGTTTAAAACGCTTTCGAAAGCCCTCTGGCAGGTGTGTTAACTGCTAATCGGCTTTAATTTCTGATTTCGAGCTTCTATTATTAATTTTATGAACTAATACAAATTGCTTCTCGCTTTTATAAACATATTATAAAAACACATACAATTGATTAGTTGAAAAAAAAAGAAGGCAAGAGAAATATTGGACTGCTCTCGATTTGTCAGCTGTTGGCGACACATTGCGTCAGTTTTTTTTTAAGTGTTCTTGTTTTTTTTTTTCATACTTTTTGTTGCTATTTTGCAATTTTTTTCGTTATTTCTGACGGCCGGACGCGACGTTCTGCAGTGTGCGAGTGTGCGAGTGTACGAGTGTGTGTGTGCGATGAAAGAAATGATAGAAAAAGCGGCACAAATAAATTTAGTTAGCGACTAGAGATATTGCCGGGCATATAAATATGTATGCATAACTATCTCGACAATTTGTGGGTGGCATTGACTTTGCCATGATTATAACAATCATAAATATAAGCATCAAAAACTTATAGTTTTCTATTTTCATATGATTAGCTAGCTTTTGTCTGTCTTTCTTTGGAGGTCACAAAGTTTTTCCATAGTTATGCGGCTTAGTTATAAAAACAAAAAACAGTTCTCAGCGCTTCCCATTTTATTATTATTGGATTAACTTTAATAATAAATAACTGTAGAGTCCAGGGCTTCAGCTCCAACTTTATGCCTGAAATGATGGCATATTAACAAAACGAGTTTAAGAGTCAAGGAATATTGTCGAGTTGTAATTGTAACCGGATATTTGTCAAAAGTTTCCTGTTATGCTTACGGCAATAACAGAAAGTATCTGCGGCAAGATTCATCATATAATTGCCTCTGCATGGGTATAAAAATAATCATTTAGTTTAGTCGCGAAATCATTTGCCAAATGTTGTCTTTAAATAAATCAAGTTATAAAAATGCTCGCGTTGATTTTGTTTTGGCTCACGGCTTGCTTAATAAATTAACGCCCACACTCAGCGTTTTTTTTTTTTTTTAATATATATTGCTTAGTTTATTTTTTATTTTTATTCTATTTTTTATCTTTATGGCCAGACAACGAAGTTCAAATTCTATAAGAAAATAGAGAACAGAATAAACGGCAAATGCGATATATAAAAAATCAACGCCACGAGGCGAAATTACTAAGTATATCTGATAAGTCGATGAGGGAGCGCCCCTTTCATAGTTAAATATTCCAATTTTATATATACATATATCTATATATATATAGGTTCCGTTCATTATCACAGCTAAAGTCGGCGACAGCAGATAGCGTCGATAAAATACATTTTTGAAGAACCATAAAGCTCAATGAGACAAATTATATATCGCATTTCCATTTAAATAATCATTCTTTATTAACTAATTGAAAGCGAACTGCAAATTCTTCGCTTGTCACAAATAATATTCATCAAATTAATTACTCACACTTGATTGTGCTGTCCAGAATTTAATTAAATGAACACTTTCTGCACATATCAGGCCAAAACTTTTATAAATAATATATATATATATATATATATATTTATATATCTATATAAAATATATAAAATTGTATATATATATATGTTTTTGGTGTGCATTGTGAGTCATTAAATGTAATATTTTTTACCCAATCGCTAACAGGTCTCATGATTCATTTCATGCTAAAACTTAGGCTCAAACTAGAGGCTAGACGCTGTTATCATTTTGTGTACCTTGGCGTAGATTAAGTTTTAAAATAGGAGTTGCTGTCTGTTGTTTTACATGTTCGGAATAAATATGAGCTACTTAATATAAATAGCTGACACAATTCCCTTCCTATAGGTATACTTGCGAGATAATGACTCGTATATTTCAAAGTACACTCGCCCGTTGAGTATATATTTGACACACATTATGCATACGCGAAACGTTTTTAATTCGTGTTCATCTGCACGAAACCAAAATCCAAACAAACTGCAATTTTTATTACACTTTCAAATAACCGAAATCTCGTACAAAATATTCGCCAACAACATGGAATGGAATTTTTTTTTATATATCTGTTTTTTCCATTAATATAAGCTGATGAAAATACTTGAAAATGGTTTAAAAAAAAAGAAGAGGTTTAATTGTAGCAAACAGGCAATATTGTTAAAAGTTTATGCTTATTTGCTTTTTCTGCCCATTTTTTTTGCTATAATTTTTATTTTGCCCAATAATATTCCTAAGCGCACATTGACGCTGTCCAGTTTATAAAAAATGTGTGAAAATCGCGATGTTATTTAAACTCGTGCATTTGCTGCTTTATTTATGTGTCTGGTTTGCTAAGCAAATTGTATTAAATGTTATTGTTGTTGCTGTTGTTGTTGTTTATCCGCAGGTCACACAGCTTCTTATTTTCACGAACATCCCGCATCGCATTTAGATATATATATATATATATATATATATATATGTATACATATACATATTTATGTCGAGGCGAAGCGTTTTATATTTATTTCTCGTTTGAATTTAATTAAATTTGCACATTTGTGTAAAATTTCATATACATGTGTCGCTTTCTATGTGACGAACACGGGGCGTGTCTGTGACGGATTCTGCATCTGCATTTGTATCTGTATCTGTAGCTGTAGCTCTGTCTGTATCTGTATCTGCGTTGGGCATGTGTGTGCGTCTATGTGTGTGACTGAGTGCCCCCCATGTGTCAGCCTAGACGCCTAATCAAACAGCAGCAACAACAAAAGCGGCGACAGCCAAAATTCAAAGCCCTCAGAGCACAAAAAAAAAAGAAAAAAATATCAAATATAATAAACATGTGTAATGACGGTGAAAGAGAATCTGCAAAAACAACAACAACAGCAACAAAAAACCAAAACAAATGTGACAAATAAAATAAGATTAAATAAGCCGCTCGGCGATTATAGAAAAAGTCCCACGGAATTCTTTTTAAGCGATCGCCAAAAATGAAAAAAAAAATTTATAAATAAAAATAAAAACTTTTGAAATTTATTCGCTGTATTTCCCTTATTTGTTGCCTTGCCATGCGCAAACGGGAATACACGAAAATATCAGTTTTTTAATTGCTCTTAATTAAGCCTAATTAAAAGTCTAATTTATTTTTACAGCGACATTCAGGTAGGGAAATGGCTTAGACGGATCAATGTGGATATTAAGTAAAATTTCAGCTTTTGTGATGCAAATCGATGTGAATTTGGGCGGCTTCAAGTCTATTAAAACTTGTCTTCATAAAGAGTTAAGAGAGTAAGAATATCTTCAGCACGACGTGGTTTAAATAGCCTTAAAGACATTTGCCTTACGATTTTGCTGATATGTCAAAATAGTGAAGTTTGTACGAGCTGAGTTCGATGAAAATATCTTGGAGAGTCTTGGAAAGTATCTTGGCATGCAAGAATCTACATTTCCACCGATTGTTTCTCTAGCAGCTGTATGATAAAGTGGGCTTACATAGCATAGCAAGGGAAAACAACTAAATACCCAGTCTGGTCCAGAAATCTTGATAAACAAAATATGGCAGCTATGGCAGCTATATATGAAATAGCTCTCCGATTCAGTCGGTTCCAGCATATGTACTAACAGAAGGACAGACCTATGCAAAGTTTCAAGACCATAGCTTAAAGCCCGTGAGACGAGTTCGCATAGAATCAGACGAACAGACAGATGTACGGACGGACTCGACTATATAAACACTGTATGAGGTCGGAGATACCTCCTTTTTTGACAAAATTATAATTATCTTTACTAGTGTATACAGATGAAAAGGTGTTAAGTGTATTTGTAATAATCGGCCTGTCCGTTTACAAACTACACGAAACAATTTTATTTTTCATCTGTTTTACTTTATAATCATTTTTGAAATTTTCCATTAAGAAAGTTTTAAGGTAATCTGAGTATGTTTAAATATTCCCACGGGCTCGATTAGTTAATTACCAAATGTCAAACTATTACAAACTGAAATTATAAAGTACACAAAAGATGACTTTTTCAGTAAATATTGACACGTCAGTTTGGCGTCATTTTGGACTAAAAATAAATGTTATGACAGAACATTTGTATTTCGAGTGTATTGTATTTCTAATACCCATTGTACAGAAAAAGCCATTTAGCATATTACGTGTATAATATCAGACAACAAAGGAGTGCAAACAAGACAAATACTCAGCAATTCATGTATGCGATGCGAGTGTGTTTATTTAAAACTAAAATGCAGTCACTTTACGTATCTATGCATTTACACATATGCAATACATGCAAGGCCCTGAATCAACATAGCTGTAAAATAAAAAAGGTATTAAAGAGTATTAACACTTTAATAACTATAACGAATCGGCTAAATTGCCTTGATCTATCTTCTTTAAATGTAAATAGATATGTACTTAATATATTAATATTAATTGCCCCTCTTTAAAATAGAGAGAGAGAGAGACTCTCTGCAAATCACTGGAAGGAAAGTATATAGAAGATGGAGAGAGAGAGTGAGAGAGAGAAAAACAAAGAGAGAGAGAGAGAGAGAAAGAGAGACAGAGAGAGACAGAGATAGAGATAGAGAGAGACAGAGTGAGAGATAGAGAGAGACAGATAGAGAGAGTAAGAGTATTAAAAAGATTACGATTAAGATAATTTGAATAAGCACAGCATGAAGAACTGCAAGCCTTACATGACTTCGTGAGAATCGCATAGAAGGGTAACATATAATATTTATTCGCAGTGCATTCAGATGCATGAAAAGCTATCGGCTTTTCAGTCAGTCAAGACAGGACAAATAGTATTTACAGATACCAA